ATAAATTTACTAATCTATAATAACAATTCATGATGATAATTTGACAAAGTGCGAATTTCAGCACGAAGAATGACCAACTTATTATTCCTTCTTTTTCATATACGCAATAATTGACGTAAATGCATATATATAATAAATTTTAATTAGATAAAAATATAAAGATAAATCTTAATTTAAGATTTATCTTTATAATTAAATTTTTTATTTACTTAATGACATACACAATATTTTATTATGTATAAACATTAATCACTTATATTATTATAATTAAAGTAAGAAACAATATTATTATTATTTATCGCAAATTAACATTTATAAAAAACTTTTTGTTATTCTTAATTTTAGTTCACAAATATGTCATAATGAAATAAAAAAATTTCAAATGAACTTTTATTTAACTTTTATATGAAAATTTATATTGATAGTCTATAAATTAATATTATACTTATATAATTAAATTTAAATTTATTTTATAAGTAAATTATATTTAAATAACTTCACATCTATATTCAAGTGTATTATAATTATCAATTATAATTATAAATTATAATTAATTATAAATATATATCCCTATTTATATACATGTATAAATTATAATAATATAATTATAATTAATAAATCATTATTTATATGTATACATACATAAATGTTACATTGGAGATAAAATTAATCATAAACTTGAAACTTATGTAATTGTTCACGTCTCTTGACTGTCTCATTTTAGTGGATATATAGTATTCCATTATAAAGTATAGAAATACAAATGTAAATATACATATTAACGCAAACCTGAGATCGTCAATTCATTTCAATATTATCCAAAACACCTCCGCTAAGCTTAATAGCAAATAATTAATAATTTTTTAATGAAAAATTTATATCTATATCGCATAAATGTAATACAAAATGACTTGATATACATGTATTATAATACTAAAAATTTCATGTTCAACAGCTAATTAACTTGAGAATATCTAAAATGTATATCTTCATTTCTCATGTAAATAGATATTAGAAATATGCATCTTATTGATTCTTCTTAAACGGATATGTTCAATTATCATTAAATATACATTTTAATCTGTTAAAAATAATTCTCACAAATAATAAATGTACGTTTAAACGCATTTATATTCGATAGATCTTATTCATTTCATTTTTTAACATAAAAAACACAAATGTACACAAATGTGTTTGTAACACAAATTTTATCAAACATATTTTATATCTTTCCCTTTCTTTTTCATGTGCATCAGTATTAGAAAAAAGATTTATAATATAGTCAATTTAATATTTAATATTAATCTTATTTTATAAAAAAAATGCATAAATAAAATAATTTCAAAATTGAAAAAAATCAATTCAAAATTCCATTATAAAGTATAGAAATACAAATATAATACAATTTACGAACTATACTAAAAATATATTAAGACACGTAATATCCTTTCAAATCAAATTTATTTTAATCTCTTTTGTATAAACTTTCTGATATATAAGTCTATATAAGCCTTATTTATTGTTTTGCTTCTGAAATCTAAACTAAAGTGATAAATATATTCAAAAATTAAAAAGCAATGTTAATCGATTAATCTTCCCTTCATCTTTCCCATTTCAACCGAAAAAAAAAAGTTTGAATTCTTAACGGATAAGAACATACGATACATTTAAAAAATTCAGCCAAAAGATTTATATATTATATATTGAAAAATAACCTTACTTTAGATTTTTTGTTTGCAAAATAAGTACGAAGATTCTTCAAACAGATGATTCTACATAGGATTGACAACAAATAATGTTTATTCGTAATGTGATATAATCAGACACAAGTAATGTCTCATCTTCTATAAATTGAATTGTCATTACCATATTATCTGTTATATACATAAGACGTACAGACGGCAAGTTCTCGATTTGGTAAGACATAAAGAATTATAAGTATTTAATAATTGAGAAAATAACAATTCAACAATTAAATATTTCCTTTTATATCATATTTTTTAGCATTCTTTTATTGTTTGAGAACAATTTTCTACTGATTTTTATACAAATTTAAATTCAATTATATAAGTTCAAAACCATCTAATTTAATTGACAATAATTAGCAAAACTAGAGTAATCATTATTTATGATCAAAGTTTTAATTATGTTAAAATTATAAATAAATAAATGTAATGTAACATAATATTTTAAATTTGAGACTGCTATGATTTCTTATTTCAGTATAATAATAATTTAATAAACATGCAGCATAAAACTAAATAAGAAAAATCATTATAATGAGAGTATAATTGTCTTTTTAAAATAATATTCTTTCATTGATGTGTATAAGATATGAAGATATGATAGTTATACAAAAACATATTTTTTATTCACAAATCAAAATGAATTATATTACTTGTATTACTTAATTCTAGATATTACGACATTAATTGAGATGTGACAAAAGTAAATACTATTTATTTCAAATTATACTTCAGTTAAGTAAAAGATTAAATAAATAATGATTTCCATTACAAAACTATTATGGATTATTATCTTCGGAAGTTTATTTTACTACTCATTAGGTAAGATAATTCATATAACTGCAACAAAATTAAGATATCTATATATAATAACAATAATAATTAAAAATAAAATCAATTAAATGACATATTTATATAAGAAATGTAATGTAACATACAAATATTCCTTCAAAAGATGATATAAAAAAATCAAAACTTACATTAATGGGACAAGTAATTTTATATAACTATTTTCACTATTATCATTATTATTTTTATCACTTTTGTAATTTTATACAACTATTCAGTCAAAGTATTAAAAGAAGATACAGATTGAAAGTTACATTAATGAGACAAGTAAATGTATGTTGTAAAGAACATAAAAAAATAAAATAAAATAATAGTAAAATCGCATAACAATTAAACTTGCATCCTAATTTATACTTATTTAATTTTATAGTTCATTAGAAGATATAAATGTATTAAACAATTTCTGTCATTTAACTCAACTATAAACACATTGTATTAAAGTTATGTTTATGTTTTATAAAAATTTATTTAATAACTAAAATTAACTTTAATCATAATATGATTCAATCACTCCGTTTATAAATTACTTAAAAATCATAATCTTTACATATATAACAATAAATATCCAATAAAATTAGACTTAACAAGTCTTATTAAATAAGATATATTGATATTCTCATAGATGTAGGAGCTAAGATCTACGAAAGCATTCCAATACCACAATACATAACTAAATTTTTAATAAATATAACAAACAAAATCAATCGGACAGAGGATTCAAAAGAATCAGAATGGATATTTTGGGATATTTTTTATGGAAATCCTTTTATCTACATATTAATAGTCATATTTCTAATAATAAGTATATATGTTTGCGTAATACCTATACAATTAATAAGAACTGGTAAATTTAATTTTTATAATATTTTTGTTCCTAATTATAATTAATGAATTAATATAGAAATGTAACTTTAAATGTTGGTTAAAGAAACGTCTCATAAAATGATTCCTAACACTAGACTTCTATCGTATAATATTGTTACACATTAAATTGTTATAAAAAAAACGTCAG